TGGGAGAGAGATGAGGGGCTGGAGTCGGGATTCGAACTCGGGACGCCTGCTGACTTTTTATTGTAATTTAAATTTAATTTCAAGTTACATGTTTATCATTTTTGGCAAAGTTGTTGTCAATATTTAAGTTCACACTGGAGATTTATCAGAGCCACAACAGGAGTAGTTCATCACAAACTATGAACATGTTGCACTAGCAGAACGCCTCATAATTATTTATATCTATTCCAAAATAATAACTCAATGCCGTAACAATTTAAATGTTCAGCTATACTTTTTAATAGTTAACTTTTAACTACTTTTTAATTTTTCGGATCATCAGTCATCAAAGCTCGGTAAATATTGGTCACAGAGATTTACTTTAAATTTCACCAAGATGATTACTCACTAAAAACTCCCACAGATCATGTTTTCAGGCCGTTTCAAGTCTTATTTTGACGTAACATGGTGGCTAAATCTAAGTGTGTGAGCTGTTTACTGTCTTCCCATCAACGCCATTATATTGTTCATTCAGACTGATTCGCGAATGCGCATCAACACAAGAGGCGGGATTTATCGCATGAGCCAATCACAGACGAACATAACCAGTCATATCCAATCATGTCGTGATGGAGGCATTGCTTCCTCATGTGACTCCCCCCATCCAACCCCCCAAATTACAAAATTCAACAGCAAGTTCTTGACAGATTTCTCATATTTACACATTTTGTAAATACAAATTGAAATAATTTTAATACAATAAAAAAATAAAATACAATTCTAACCCCCCAGCAAACTCATGGGACGCTATTGGGGGGGGGTTCTGTTAAAACTCAGTGGGCTCAGGGGAGGCAAGACAGACCTGTTTGCCTGCTGGTGTTGCTGTTGTTTCTTTAGAAAAACGAGTTATATGTTGTAATATTAGCGTTGTTATATTTTTGCACTACTAATGTTTTTCTCATTTAGCAGTTTGATGTTATGAGGAGACACTGCCTCATATATATATCTCAGCATATATCTGTTTTTGGAATTTAAATAAAAAAAAATTATATGTTAAGTGGGGTGTTATTATTATCACTATTTTTTTTCTTTCACTTTTAATCAGTTGTTGTCAAGGTGATTTTTAGCGGATGACGTCACTCCACACAGGTGATTATCCGAGTGAAAAGTGTGCTTCTCTTTCTTTAGAATAAATAACAATGGCCCTTTAAAACGTGATGTTTTGCTCTGTCTAAATGTTTTTCGGCGCGGTGTCGCCCTCTGGCGCCTGACTGCGGTAATTCACTTACTCCTCACGACAAACCCAAGCGACTTTAGAAAAGAGAGAGCGCTTAACAAGCGACCAGCAACCGGCAACATATCAGAGTTCTTTCATTTCACGCCTTTAACATCAGAATGAGTGATAGAGACAGAGATCAAGACAAGACGATCCTCATGGGAAACATCCACAGCTGTGTGACGGAGGAGATTCTGCAGGTGAGCGCATCATCTTCATCTTCATCATCATCATCATCTTCATTCACCTGTTCAGTGTGTGTCTTGCAGTGATTATTGATATGCATTAGCAATAATTCTCTTTTCCCTTTTGATAAATCTTGTTTTTGCAGCCCATATTTCTTTGGTACGTTTACTGGCGTTTAGAGCATCACATCAAATAACTAATAATATTCGAATCATTGAACTAGACAAGCCTTTTGGGTTTTTAAGTAACAGATTGATCTAAATATTTTTGTTTGTTGTTTGTATTTATTTAAATTAGGGCTGCACGATTATGACAAAAATCATAATTGTCGATTATTCCCTTGAAATTGTAATTGCGATTATTAATTACGATTATCACAATTTACATTGAATGATGTTTATACCATTGTTTGATGCAACTGCATGCCGTATTTCTTTAAAATGAAAATAAACAAGCTGAAAACACTCGAACTGAAAAACCTTTAGTGCTTTTCTATCGTATTAAGCCTTCAAACGTCAAATATACATCGGATTGGTTTCTTCTTTAAATTATAATGGTATTATATATATATATATATATATGGTTACATATTTACGTATATACTTATATATTGTTTTTAATATTTTTTATGTAATGTTTATTTGTTTTTTTATATGTAGTTTCAATTGTAATGTGTTAATGTTTATATTTAAAATATGTTATGTACCTATCTAATTATAAATGTAATTTTTTGTCTGTTTAAATGGGAAATGTGCTTATTCCTCTCTCCAAACCCATATTTTCATATCTGATTCCTGTACAGCAGGCAGGTCCAGTCGACGAGGTGCGTATATTCAGAGAGGGACAGTATGGATGTGTTTATTATAATAACGCTGAAGCTGTTCCCTGCGCAGTCGTGCTTCTCAATCTGGCTCTTGTGCTTGTGCTGTGCTGTTTTTAGATGGACGTTATCATAGAAATGAGGCGTTTGCGTACCACACGGGGACGGGACTGATAGCAGACAGGTGTGTCACATTACAGAAACACTCCAATGCTTCTGTTTATGATAGTAAGCCCATATTCAGAGGTCAAAACTGGGCTCTTGCTTCACCAGAGTACCTCAAATCATTACTTTAAATTCAGCCATCTCAAAACTCTCCTCTTCTGTTGCTTTGTGGGTAATATTTTGCTCGAAAAGCGTGAACAGATGAACACTTCATGAATAATATAATTATTAGCACACACTAATTATAATATTGCATACTATTTAGAACAGATAGCATGATTTGGGATTTATATGGATTGTTTCAAACCACTTTCTCCTGAGGGTTTTATTCCTAACACTCCCTGCAGGACAGATTCAGTTTATATTTATACACGCTCTGCTCTTCAGAAGTTTGGGCTCAGAAAGATTTGGTTTTGAAAGGAATTAATAATTTTAACCAGTCTCATTAAACTGAGCAAAAATACAGTGAAGAACAGACAATAAAGTTTAAATTGGTGCAAAATAATGCTTTTTTTACCCTAATATTGTGCAGCACAACTGTGTTCAACATTGATAATAATCAAAAATGTTTCTTGAGCAGCAGATCAGCATATTATACTGATTTCTGAAGATCATGTGACGCTGAAGACTGGAGTAATGATGCTGAAAATACAGCTTTGATCACAGAAATAAATTACAGTTTAACAGATATTCACACAGAAAACTGCTGTTTTAAATTACAATAATATTTCCCTGTTTTTACAGTATTTTGCATCAAATAAATGCAGCCTTTGTGAGCAGAAGAGACTTCTTCTTACTGACCCCAACCCTTTGAACGGTATTCTTTTTATAATAGAGAGTCATATTTAGCATTTTGAAATGTTATGTGGTGTGTTCATAATTTTATCAGTTCAATATTTTAATTTTATATATGCCATTATTTCCCATATGACATGGTAACATACGAGAAAAAAATAACACAACATAACATAATAATAATAATAAAAAAAAAAATATATATACTGTATATATTATTTAATACTGACGCGCAAATCTGATGATCTGAATTTTTTTTTTTGCAACTTCATCTTGAGTTCACATTCAGCAAGGCTTTGCGTCTCAGTTCAGGTGATTAGAAAGATGATTGATTGGTGCCTCTGTCATCTACACTGACATTTTTATAGGAGGATAAAAGCTTAACGTCACACAAAATGTCACATTTATGCTGGATGGTAATTTACAGCTGTTTTTAACATCAAGCGTTGACTCTTATTACCTGAACTAGCCTTCAGCCAAAGCCTCTCCCTCTCTTGAATTATAACTAACATGATAAGATGCAATAACGTTACCTTCAGACTTTACACTTAATAAATGTCTTCAAATACAAGAGAATTTCAGTTGGTGCTGGTGTCAAAAAACATGTTTTAGTGTTACAAAAGATTTCTATTTCAAATAAATGCTGAGCTTTCTATTCATCTGTGAATCCTGAAAAATACAATATTGTGCAGCACAACTGTTTTCAACATTGATAATAATCAGAAATGTTTCTTGAGCATCAAATCAGCATATTAGAATGATTTCTGAAGATCATGTGACGCTGAAGACTGGAGTAATGATGCTGAAAATACAGCTGCACATCACAGAAATAAATTACAGTTTAACACATACTCACACAGAAAAGAGTTATTCTAAAGTGAAATAATATTTCACAGTTTTTACTGTATTTTCAAACAAATAAATGCAGCCTTGATGAGCAGGAGAGGCTTTTTTCAGAAACATTAAATAATATTACAGACCCAAACTTTTGAACAGGAGTGAACATAAAAAAAAAATATATATATATAAAAAAATATATATACCGTACATATACATACACACATATACAGTGTGTGTATATACACTGTAAAAAAAATCCGTAAAATTTACGGTAAAAAACCGGCAGCTGTGGTTGCCAGAATTTTACCGTAAAAAATATGGTAGCTACATTTTAGGTATTACGGTTTTAACCTAAATTTACAGTTAAATACCGTAATTTCATTAACTGATATAATGTTAATATACCAACCTATTGAAGTACTGAAATCTGTTTTGTACCTTTGTAATAACATAGTTATTTCAACAAAAAAACATCAAATTTGAACTGTAACACGGAATTCTGGGAATGTCAATTTACGGTTCTTTACTGTAAATTATACTGTCTTTTTATTTTACAGTTTTTTACCGTTAAATTCACAGCCATTTTTTTAAAGTGTGTATATATATATATATATATAAACCTATTTTACTGTATTTTTTAATAATTAAAAAATTTTTCAATTAAAATTGTAATAAAATAAAAAAAAAAGTTCCCCTAAAGCTGTCTCAAGAAGTTTTTCCTGGAGGTTAAGGTGAGAGGATGGGTTAGTTTTCTCAGCACATGGTGATTCTTCATTCTAGAATATATTTGGATATCTATTTGGATTAGAAATGATAGTTAAAGCCCAAGCGTTTGAACATTATATTTTTGCTTCCTCTTGCGTTACGCCTTTTATTAATGCTTTCTGGAAATGCTGATAAAGCGGCACATGGTTCTAATCAACAATAATAGTCACTGTTCAATAAAGGTTTATTGCTAGGCTGTATAAGAAGGACAGACGTGTGTTAGAAGCGGTGAGTTAGCAGGTTCGAGTGCTGCGAGTGTGATGTCCAGAAGAGCGTGTGGTCTGTCGTCTGCGGAGCTGCTGCTCTCTGCGCTGCTGCTTCTGCTGTTCGTGGTTTGTGTGGGACTCAGCGCCGTCACCTGGCTCGCTCTAGACAGCACAGGTACGACACTGTCCCTCTCTGATGAGCTCTGCTGGAGGCTGCAGGTGTTCTGCAGTGATGTGTGTGATGTTTCAGATGCTGGAGGAGAGCAGAGCGGCTCAGAGTTCAGAGGGATCCTCGTCATCTCCAACGGAAGCGTCTTCACGGAGGAGCTGCTGGACAAACACAGCGACCGGTTCAAAGCTCTGGCGTACGACAGCGAGCAGAAGGTACAGCTTAAAGAAGAAGTCACCCAAAGTCAAGATCCTGTCATATGACGGACTTTATTCAGAAGAGCAGACAGTGAAAGTCTGATGACGTGAGGATGAGTCAATGATGACAGGATCTTCATTTTTGGGTGGATCCGATGAATCATGAAGCATGCCAAAACATGTTTTATATACATTTTTGAACCAAAAGACATTTTGCATTGTGACATTAATTGCATGACAACTAAAATAAAGCAATAAGCCCCAAGAAGCCGTGGTTTACAGTGAATTTATAACAGCTAAGTGCTGTAAACCACGGCTTCACGGGGCTTAATACTGTACAGCGTATAAGAGAAAAAAAATTACAATAATTGTTTTACAGTAATACTGTAGACATTGCTTTATAATGTCAACGAGAACATAATAAATTTATATTTATAATTTATTATATTATTATAAAAACAATATGTTATTTTATATTTATATTATAATATTATGTATGTATATGCATAATGATCATTTAGAAAATTAAGTTGCTTAATTGTCATGAAAATAATGTTCAAATAGAAAAATGTTAATGGCACATTAACGATAAGCTTAATGATGCAAATGATAATTTTAGACTTTTTAAACACATTTTCATGAGATGAAATCCTAGTAATGATTGTAATGCATATCTTTTCATTCTGTAAGTTATTGATCAGTATTTCAGTGTGATAATAAATCAGTTTTCTCTGCAGATCAGTGACGCTTACAGTCGTACTTCGCTTAAAGAGCAGTTCAGAAGCTGCAAGGTCAACGAGTATGTTATTTTATATTTATATTATAATATTATGTACGTATATGCATAATGATCATTTAGAAAATTAAGTTGCTTAATTGTCATGAAAATAATGTTCAAATAGAAAAATGTTAATGGCACATTAACGATAAGCTTAATGATGCAAATGATAATTTTAGACTTTTTAAACACATTTTCATGAGATGAAATCCTAGTAATGATTGTAATGCATATCTTTTCATTCTGTAAGTTATTGATCAGTATTTCAGTGTGATAATAAATCAGTTTTCTCTGCAGATCAGTGACGCTTACAGTCGTACTTCGCTTAAAGAGCAGTTCAGAAGCTGCAAGGTCAACGAGTTCAGGTCAGACTTTATATATTAAAGCACCTTAGCTAAAAACACAGTTCAGCATTTTTAATATTTTGTCCATGTATTTAGGAGATGTAATAACCAACAGCTGTGAGTTTGTGAAATACTTCAGTGCAAAAAAAAACAAAAAATAAAAACATTTTCTTAATGAGAATTTCTATTTGAGATATGTTTAAAATGAGATAAATAAGTATTTATTTATTTATTGTTTGTTTGTTTGTGTAGTTTAATGCATAAATATAACAAAAACAAATAGTAAGGTTTATGCTTAAAATTCAAGTTCAGATCAGAAACCTAATGAAAGACAAGTTCTCTAAAAGGTCTTGTGCTCTTCAGGTGAATGCGTGATTGTTTGAGTGCTGATCGTGTGTCTGCTCTCAGTGAAGGCAGCGTGCTGGTGTTTTTCGAGCTGGTCTTCCGAGGCGTTCTGGACTCACAGACGGCTCAGGAGCAGTTAGTGGATGGTTTACAGCAGGCTTCACATGATGGACTCGTGATCGACACCCACAGTGTGCAGGTCACAGGTAATCATGTCTTCAAGACATATCTACAGTTTCACATCGATAAAGATCTCCGTGGGACTGTATAGACGTAATTGATTTAAGGAGTTCATTTAATTTATGCAACTCTTAGTTTGGAGGGGTTTTTATAGCTGATTTTATGCAATTTCTAATTTCTACCCTCAGATAAACCAGCTACAACCCAGAGAGCGTCCACAGCAGGAGCAGGTGCGAGCGCTTTCTGTTTTATTGCTCATGACATGATCTGACCGGGACAAAGTCTCCGTTTTTTATTTGTTGTTTTGATTGTATTTAGATTATAAAATGACATTGTGATATAAATGTGGGATGGATGTCATATTATGGATCAAAAAGCTAAATATTTTTTTAATTATTAAATTAATTATTAATTTAATAATTAAAAATAAATAAATAAATAATTCAATTAGTAATAATTCATTATTATAAAAAAAAAAAAAAAAAAA